ATTTATGGATCCCCACAAACCCTAGAAATAAGACTACTCAGACATAATTAAATATAAAATAAACAAAGCAATTAAAGGAGGCATGATTAAAGGAATAGAATGAATAACTAAGATTAAGAGAAGAGAAATAGTTACCAAAGGAAATCTGTATTAATGAAAATAATTAAGAACAAGAGTTGAGAGAAAAGTTAAGAGAGAGAAAAATCCTAAGTAGAGAGAGAAAATCTAAGAAAAGAAGGTAATCCAAAATTACGTACAAATCTCGTACTTAAACGTTCCCTAAAACAAAAATTAAAACTAACTAATCAGGTCTTGAGAAAACACGCGCCCGATCGGGCCCGCCTTTTTCTTCACACACTATTTGGGTAGACGCGCCCGATCAAGCTAACGCTCACCCGATCGGGCGCGCCTTCTTACTGGTGCTCTTCTATGCGCGCCCACCCGATCGGGCGCAAGCTTGCCCGATCGGGCCCGGTCTTCTTCTTCGAGGCTCGGATTTCAATTGGGCTCGATTCCTCGACCCAATCTAAGTTTCCTCATCGGGTCTTGATTAAACGATCCACTAGCCTCGGTGTCTCATACCGAGCCCTTAATCATCGGCTCTCACCGATCCTGGGCTTCAAAAGTGGTCGTGTCCTTCTAGCTTCCGTAGTTAATCCATAAAGCCTGGGAAAATGCTCCAAGAATGCAATTTCCTGTAAAATACAACTAAAACTACGAAAACACTAGAAAACACAAATTAGTAATAAAAGTGGCTTGAAAGAGCCAAAAACACTACTAATTATGACCAAGGGACGGGGGTAAATTACTATATAAAATGGACATATCAATAACTCGTCCCTTCTTCAAGGCAATTGCTTGATCCCCATTCGGAAGTCCAACAGGACACACAGAAATCATACGAACATCCACCAAGCAAGATTCATTTCCGATGATATGATGTGATGCCCCCTTATCAATAATCCAAGAGGACAAGAGCTCACCTTGCATACAGTGTTGTTGAAGAGAAGCCATATTTAAAAAAAACCCAAATGTCCTCGGGTTTGAGATCATTTAGGGAGATATTATCCCCACTTCCAGAGGTTGCCCCTGTCGAAGCATCCACCCCTATCACGGCATTGGCACGAGCACCAGCAGGTGGCTTCCTAGAGCTCGAATTAGATTATGAGGCAGTAGGGGGCGTGGAAGAAGTGCGAGTAGACCCCGTCCAACGCTTGAATTCATGCCACCAGTCAAGGTACCCGTGAAGAACAAAGCATCCCTCTACATCGTGGCCTGTTTTCTTGAAATGCGAGCAAGATAACTTCGATTTATCTCGACGATCCACGGCTCCCTTCGAACGCATGCAGATACGGCAAAAGCATGAGCATCTTTCACTGCCTTGTTGTGAGCCCTGCCTTGAGCAATGCCCCATGATTATTCTTCTTAGAGAAGGGCTTGATAAGCCCGAGTCAAGTCAACTGGAGGCCGCTGGGATAAGAGGTTCGTGCACACAACAACATACTTCGAGTTATCCACGCCAATTAAAAATTGGTGCAGCACTTCCTCCTCCCTATCTTTTTGCGATTTTTCCCGCAACATTGCAAGTGCAAAGCCCACATTCACAACCATGTAAGGGTTTGATTCTCGTGAGATCATCAAACAAGCACATCAAAGTGTTATAATAGTCCTCAATCGACATACTAGCAGTTTTTCGACAATTAGTAAGTTTCGACCTCAGTTGCTGCAACCTTGGTCCATTAGAGACACAAAACCTCTGTTCCAGATAAGTCCACAAGAATTTTTCTTCTTCAAAATAGGGTAGTGATGCCACTAGTTTAGGTTCCATAGACCTCAAAATCCACGAGACGATCATGGAATTAACCGTATTCCAATTCAAGAGCTTCTTCTTTTCAGTCGGTTTCATGATTGTTCCATCAACGAATCCAAATTTCCGACGAGAGCGGAGAGACAACGTGATTGCCCTCAACCAAGCTAAGTAGTTGTCGCCTTTCAAGACCACGTGAGTGATCATGTTTCCCGGTTGATCTCCAGCACCGAGATAGAAAGGAGAGGAAGGATTGAGTATCCCGTCTTCCATGGTTGATGCGTGAGCAACAAAAGAGAGAAATCAATGTTTAGGATTTAATTTTTTAGTTAGGCCTAACACCATGTCAAGAATGCGCATTCTTAGTTTGTATTGAGTGTTAATAAGGTATATATACAACCTAAGCCAAGGGCCTAAACTTATCCTGTTAACCAACTAACTACAACACAATATATACTATATTTTTTTGCCTAGACTCTAGGGTAGCTAGCTTCTCCTACACCCCCATGCTACTACGTCGTTTTATATTGAATCATTCTGCAATTTTGTTTTTTTTTTCTTCATCTTTTATCATTTTTGTTAACTTTCTATTCAAGCAACTATATAATGATTTTCTTAACCTAATTTCTATTTTATTTCTCTCTTTTTTTACTTATTTCATTTTCTCTCTCCTGCATTTTTTATTTTCCCCCCAATTTTTCTCTTTCTTCTTCCATGGAAATTTCTAGCTCAATTGTGTTTGATCGTGACTGTGATTCTAGCTTAATTGCTTTTGATCGTGACTGTGATTCTATTTTTCCTGCTGGAGTTGGTTTAGTCGACTCGTTTTCGAAACAATGTGAGTAATTTTTCCCTCAATCATTCGATTTTGATTATGCTCTGTTTTCGCCTGTAATAGTTCGATTTTGATTTTTGATTTCATAGTTTTGCTAATTGTATGAACTATAGTTTATATAATGCTCAATTATAATTTTTGGTTTTGTAGTTTTGCTTATTGTATGAATTAAAATCAAAATTATGGTCGATTATAATTTTTGATTTCATTTTTATTTATGATTTTTTTAATTTATAGTTTGTGATGTATTGTTGTGATTTTATTGTTTTTCTTTGTAATGTTGTTATTCGATTGATGTTTTTTCCAGTTTTCTGCATTTTAATGATTGGCTATAGTTTTATAAAATTTGACATTCAATTAATGCTCATGTATGTTAGATTATATGTACATTTACGTTAACATAGGTGTAATTACTGTAATTTATATTTATCTATGTAATCATAAATGTTCATTTATATGTTTTATTATCATTTTGATATATGTTCATTTATGTAATGATAAATGATCATTAACAGTTTACATATGGTTATTGTACTGTAATTTATTAAAATCAATATTGTAATTGTACATTATTGCTATTATTTGTGTTTATTTGTTACATTTTAATATTGCAGTGGAAAAAAAGAATGCTATTGTATTTGAGGAAGCAGCTAGTTCTGAATTTTATGGGAAACAATTTCCTTCTGAAGATGTGGCTTATGAAATGTTTAATGAATATACATTTAGAAAGGGCTTTGGAATTAGAATTGGAAAAAGTAAGAGGCGAAGAGATGATTCATTCTCTATGAAAAGATTTGTTTGTACAAATGAGGGTTTTAAAGATGATAAGTGCAGGAATAATAGGCTGTATGAGAGACTTAACATAAGGACTGGTTGCTTTGCTTTTGTGCAGTTTAGTATTGACCGTTCAGGTGTATATACATGTACAAGACATGAGATGGTTCATAATCATGAAATGATTCCTGTTGACAAGAGACATTTAATAAGGTCTCAAAGGGATATTTCTAAGGAACATATTAATTTCATTTCTACACTTAGATTGAGTGGAGTTAAAGTTTCTGATTCTTTGAGAGCTTTGAAGAAGGAGGTTGGAAGGTCTCCTAACCTTTGTTTTACAGCTCCTGATGCTTATAATGCTATTTCTGTTGAAAAGAGAGCTAAACTTGAGGGAGGTGACAGCAATCAACTAATCAAATTTTTTGCTAAGAGACAAATTGATGAAGCAGATTTCTATTTTGATGTTGAACAAGATGAAAATGGTGCATTGGTTAATTTCTTTTGGAGAGATGGAAGGATGATGAGAGATTATCATTACTTTGGTGATTTTTTAGTTTTTTATACTACTTATAGGACTAACAAATATGGTATGATTTGTGCTCCATTTGTGGGTATGAATCTTCATGCAAATAATGTGATGTTTGGCATGGGATTTATACTTAATGAAAGAACAGAATCATTTGAGTGGTTATTTGATACTTTTCTAACTTCTATGGGAAGGAGAAGTCTTATTACTATTATGACTGATCAAGCTCAAGCAATTGCAACAGGGATAAGAAATATTTTCCCCAAAGGTGTTCATCATAGATTATGTGTGTGGCATATTGAACAAAATTCTAAGAAACACATTAGGGCGTTGAGAGCTTTGGATGGTTTCACTGATTTATTTGGTTATTTACTGAAGTATTGTGAAACTCCACCAGAATTTGAGCATTATTGGAAAAGGTACTTCTGCTTTATATTTGTTTAGCTTCTTAAATAATTTTTACAGAAATGAACATTTAGTTTTTTATAAATGTTTATTTCTAATGATCATAACTGTTATGCTTAATGATCATGTTTCATTTACAGAATGTTGTTGAAATATGACTGTGCAAATGTTGATTGATTGAATGATTTGTATAAAATCAAAGAGATGTGGTGTCCAGCTTTTTCAAAGAAATATTGGTCAAGAGGTGTGCTTTCATCTCGACGTAGTGAGACAACTAACAAATCAGTTTCTCAAAGGCTTAACAAGACACAAGGTCTATGTGATTTCTATCAAGTGTTTCTCGATGTGGTTCAAGAGTGGAGAAGCAAAGAAAAAGGGAGAGATTATAATATAATCAGAGGTAATCGTCATTTGGCCTTTGCATACATTGGGATTCTTGTTCATGCTAGATCATTGTATACTATTCAAGCTTATGTGCTTTTTGAGGAAGAGTTCATTAAGGGTACTGCTTGTGATCATAAGGATGCTGTGTGAATTTTCCTGAATATTATTATCATTTGTGGAGACCTGGGAAAGATATGATCAAGCACGAGGTTGTTTTTAATAAAGAAACACATGCAATATGTTGTACATGCATGTTGTTTAGTGAAATGGGTTTGCTTTGGTCTCATGCTCTTCGAATTTATTATATGAATTGTGTTCATAAGATTCCAGATGACTATATATGTAAGAGGTGGACTAAGGCTGCTATGTGTAGTCATGGCCTTGATGAACCTACAATGAAAACCAATGTAGTATCTACAAGTGTTTGGAGGACACAAACACTAAGGAAATTGGTTAAGTTGGTAACAAGTTGTCAACACTCTTTGAATGCTAGAGCAGAGGTTGAATGTTATTTCAATCTTTTAAAAGAAAAGATTGAGAGTGTTACTGGTACTATTGATTTTAATGAACCGGTTGAAGGTATTGAAATTGTTGATCATGAAGTTAAGAATCCGGCAAAATCAAGACCTATTGGAGAGAGGAATTATAGGCCTAAGAGTAATTTAGAGAAGGCTTATAACAAAGCCAGGGGTCAGTGGATGAAGAAAAAGTCAGTATACACTCCTTATAAAAGATCTAAAGGTCAAGCAGTAGTTCAGGTAATAATGCACATTTATGTTTTTGTTATTGATCATTTATGTTCAAGAATTGAACATTTTTGTTTTGCCTTAGGAATTGGACGAGAATGGGTGTCCTATATCTTATGCTAATTCTTTGGCTGATCCTAATGAGTTAATTGTGATTGAAGATCCAAGTGCTCAGGTAAAAACTTATTTTCTTTTTTTTTTATCTGTTTTTATCAAATTCTTTAGAATATAAAACATTTTTACTTTTAATTTTTTTTCAAGGTTGGTAATAAAAAGACTGCCATTGTAGAAGATATCCCTTCAGATTATAGTGTTTCAAATGACTTTGAACAGGTATTATGTAAATGATTATGTATGTAATTTTAGTTGTTCATTTCAGTAGTTTAAGTTCTGATTATAATGTTTTTATAATTTTCATTTTATTATAGGAATATGGATATATCTCTATGCAATCAAACGTTACTGTTGATCCAGACATATCTTCTATTGTTAAGGTGAAATATTAATCATCTACCTTTTAATTTTGTATAAGGTCATTATGAATTTTGAATTTGATCATTAATTATTTTAATTTTGATCATTAGGATAAAACAGCTGCAATTGCTCATGATGTTGATAATGTTCCAACAAGTTCTCAATTGCCACCAAAGAAACCAAGAAATGTACAATTTCCTACAGTTGTGCATGCTCAAATCAATGCTCAAGCTCCTTCTAAAGTTTCTAGCATTGTTCAAAATCCTCCAAAAGCTCCAAGAAATGTTCAAGTTCGTTCTAGTGTTCCGAAGAAAGTTCAAGCTCCTTCTAATGTTCCAAGAAGTACTCAAGGCTGTTCTCGGAATGTTCAAGTTGATCCTAGTATTTCAAGAAATGTGCATGATGTTCCTAATGTTCCAAGAAGTACTCAAGGAAATTCAAGGAATGTGCAAGTTTCTCCTAGTGTTTCAAGGAATGTTCTAGTTTCTCCTAGTGTTTCAAGGAATGTTCAAGGATCTCCTACTGTTTCAAGAAGTACTCAAGGCGGTTCTCCACAGATGTCAACCAAATATGATAGGTTATTAGCGTTTTTTTTATACTAGTGTGGCTAAGAGATTGGCTACAAATGGTAAATAAGATAGTAAATCAATATGCAATTATGTTTTGGTGTTTAACTATCAACATTTTTAGTTGTCTCAACTTTATAGAGATTCAAGTGCTCTAAGTTTTTTATATTTTGATTTATTAAGTAATTTGAATCCTTTTTTTTCAAACTATTCTTAAATGTTCTATAAATGATTATTTTTGCTTTTGGAAGTGATCATTTACTATTTTAAATAGTAAGAACCATTATTAAATTGGAATAATTATATTAGATGATTTAAAACTGGCAATTATAATGTAACACTTTACTATTTGTAAATATTAAAAAGATAATTAATTTTGTCTTTACTTGAACAACAACAAAAACTTATGTCCATACAAATACTGAAAGCAAGTATGATCATATATATGTCTATATATGAACATATTGTATTAAGCTTGTGCAAATCTTCTTGCTGCTCTTCTATTGTTCTGTGACTGCCTGTTTCCTTCATTCAGCATTAGTTGAGCAGTGTATTGTACTCTGAGCTTTCTGATTTGGTTCACCTGTTTCAGGAAAATAATTTATTATAAACATGAACATTAATGGGATATACATGATCATTATGTATTATAAAGTGATCATGAAGTATATTTTTTTTGTTTTGTTGAAATTTACTTACATTGTTTGGTTTTAGGTCACAAACCCATTCTTCATTGGGATCAGCAGTGAAAGTTTCCATATGTTTCATAATGTAAACTCCACAGTTGGTGTAATCTTCGTTGCTCCTCCACTTCATTTTTTGCAAAACCACCTTATATTTCTCAAAAGAATCTTCATCTTCAATTCATACCCCAACCCTTTCAAGTATTCTGCATATCCTTTTAACTGCAACATATACAAAAAAAAAATTCAAAGGATCATATTAATATTGATCATTTTGTATAAACAAACTGATCATTTATATATCTATTAAACAATATACTTACCACCAATTGGGGTTGGTTTTCATACTTTGTTGCAATTGTTTGATGTTTTGGCAGTTTCCTGTTGTCAATTATATGCATTGTCTCATTGACATGATCAATGCATAGAAGATAGAAATGTGCATATATGGCCACTGGAAAAAAAATCTGTACATAGTACACAATATTATTATATATACACATTAATGTAAATGAACATATTATAATTCCATATTGTTCATTAATACCTGTTGATATCCAACTGCACTCTTGATTTTGTATAACCTCAATTCATTTGTTATTCTTTCTCTGAAGTATGCAATTCTAAGCTCCATTGATGATCCTTCAGGACACACTGTATTTGCATACATAATTTGCTGCAAATAATGCACAGGATCATTTTAATATTCATAATGATCATCTAGTATAAGTGAATTGATCATTTTAGTACACCAATGTATACATGTGTAATTTCAATAAAGACTTACATGTGGAAATGTTGAAAAGTATAACTTGTTCTTTGACCTTTTTTGATTCAGAAGTAATGCCCATGAATCGATCACATTGTTAACTACTAATGTATCCCCTTCAAGAGTTTTCATCTCTGCCCTATTGATCAAATTCACTCCATCATAGTATAGTAGCTCACTGCAAAAATATCAATTTTTTAAATTTTATGAGTTTACAACAAACATAATATTAAAGTTTTAATGAAGTAAGTGATGTATACCTTTGATCTGTTCCACTATAAGCATAGTCTGTCACAAGTTTGTTCATTGTGTCTTCATCTTTGAACAAATCCTTGTACTTGACCATGTATGGAGATCGGAAAGCAAGAGGAACATTTGGGATTTCCCTTTGTGGCCTAGTTAATGTGACCATATATTAATACAAATATGAATTTTTTAATAATGAACAATTAATTTATATAAAGAACAAATAGTAATACCTTATCTCTTTTTCCTTTGCAATCTCAGTTTTTGCCTTCTCAGCTTCTCTTGATTTTTTTTCTTTCCAAAGTCTTCTCTCTGTCACTGAATAAATATTGAATTATGAATGATCATTTAGTATATTGATAATGAACGTTATAAATCTATACACATGTAAAGACCATTTACCTTTGTCCTATTGTGTTTTTGGAAATTTGAATCTTCTCTGCTTCAATTTCTTTTGAATCCTTTTTTGTCTCATTGAATATAAATATAGTATAAATGATTATTCAGTTTAATGAAAAAGAACATGTATATGTGGAATGATCATTTACCTTTCCTTCACATTTGAAGCATATAACTGTTTCTTCTTGTCTTCTCTGAAATATTAATCATTGTTAGTAATGAAGAGTAATTAAAATAAAAAAAATATTATTCTCCTTTTTTGAACCATAAACACTTAAAATATTACTAAGACATTTAAATTAAAATACATAATTTACATATCTTAAATTGTGCATTCCTACCCTAAAGTAAAATATTCCCTTCTGATTTTATAATATATATCCATTATTAACTTCATAAACAAAAACTGTCCAAAATAATTACACTTTATAACCAAATTTATTCTACATGTCCATTCAAAATTCTATATTTTCTAACAAGATAGGTCTTCCATGTTTACCCCATGCTTCCTCCTTTCTTGTTTGATTTATCAAGGACATCTTCCATACTTGAACATGCTGGAGATTTCAAGAATGTAGAAATATCTCGAGCAGCTTCCCTATTTTCAGTTGGTGTCTTGGGATCACCAACTTTTGAATCAGATGCTGTAAACAAAATACATGAAAGAAATTTTATATAACTAGAAATGAACATTATACTTAATAATTTGATCATTTATTTGTAATGTGTGAACATTGTACCACTCTTTGAATTTCCTTCAACATTTTCTTCTAATGCTTCAGATTTTGAACCTTCACCTTTGTTTAATGCTTTTTGTATTAATTTGCATTCACACATATATAGACTTAGTATCATTAAAGAAGAATATTTTACAATCACAAATGTTCATTTATTACTATATAAGTGAACATTTTACCTTTTTTGAATTTCCTCCATCTTGTGGTTCTTCAGAATTTGAACCTCCAACTCTTTTTGTTGATTTAAAATATATGAAATTGTTAATGTAAATGAACATTTGTTATTCTGAATATATATTTTTTTGAATATTTAGACTAAACAAACTTATTATTTTATAAATGAACATTATATTTTTCATAATTGTACATAGATATTAAAGCTTTACCCTTTTCTGGCTTATAAGAAACATTTGCATCAGTTGTTGTTGAAGTTGTGGCTGCAACATTAATCTGTGCTTCTGTGTTCAAATAAATTAAAATTTAATTATTTAATTATATTATACTCTTTAAGTAAGGATATTCAAATTAATGACAGTTTTTAATTAAGCATATTTACCAGTTGTTGGAGTTGGGGGAGTTAAGTTGCAACCCAAACTGAATGCCTTCCTTATATCATATTCCTTCTCATTTCTTGTTTTCTTTTTTTCTGCTTCACTTGCCTCCATCAGTTCCTTCTCAATTTGTGCTATGGCATTCAAAAAATCCTCTGATCCAAATATTTCTTCATCTTGGCTGAGAATTGATGGTTCTCTTGCCATCTTTCCCAACACTTCATCTACCTTCTTCACCAACTGATTCTCAGGGAAGAGTTCTTTTGCCTTAACCAATTTGGTAGAAAGTCTTGCCAAAGATGCACCAACTTCTTGTACCATTGATGCAAATTCATTCATAAAGACCTGTCATTTATAGAACATATAAAAAAATCATATAAGACATTATGTGTTTTGATATTGAACATTTCATAATTCATAAATGATCATTTTGTACCTTAGGATTGTCTTCAGCCTTTTCTTCTATTCTTGGAAGGACTTTTCCATATCCATAGTTCAAATCATTTTCTGTTTTTATCCTTTCAAGTGACATATCCCTTGTCCAACAAGAAATTATTGGAATTGTTCTTGGTTGTTTTTTGTTCAATCTTTGAACTCTGTCAAAGTAGAACAGCTGCACCAAAACCCATTATTATAAATGAACATATAATATAATACAAATGAACAATTAATATAAAAGATTAAAATTTTAGACGAAATAGATATTTAACATTTTGTTAATGAACATTCATTGTTACTAAAATGAACATTTTATAATTTACTATTGTGTTTTGTAAACTTACCATCAGAAATTGCAGTGGTCCATTGTAGAATCCTTTTCCTCCACTCTTTCTCCATGTCACATGGCAACTGATGAGAGAGTCAAACACGTGCTGACACCAATTCAAGTTTTTTATTTTTTCTTTGTCCATCATAGAAAACAGAAACTTGAAATGGCATTGGTTGTTTGAAATACACTTCATCAAACAATTCACAGCAACTACCAAAAAGTTGGTGAGAAAATCTTCTTCTGCTGGCCTTTGGTTTTTGAATTTATCACTCGTATATTGAGCAATAATTTGGTTTACAGATGGTGTTTTGCCTTGCCATTTTGACCTCCAATTTTTCATAAATACACAAAAATCTTCACTTGCTCTGTCTGATTTGGCTTCAACAATGGGAATGTCTCCCATTGGCAAACCATAAACAATTCTCTTATCTTCCACCTCAATTTCAATTTTCTCACCTTTAGGCAGCTCAAAACTACAACTACTGACTTCAAAGCTATCTAAAACCCAATGGCTGAATTGTTTGTCAAGCTGAGGAAGTCCTATATCCAACAACGGCCCCAATCCTATTTCATGCACTAATTTCTTCTGTGTATCACTCATTTTCTTAACCCAATGCATGAATTTGACATGGCCTCCTCTTGTCGAACTTTCAACTTCCTCTTCAGTCTTTTCTTCCTCCTCTTCTTTCTTTTTAGCCACTGAAAGTTCAGTTTTCCTCTTCACAATCTTTTTTATTGGTTCCCTCTCATATAGAACCATTCTTTTTTCTTCAGCTTTTGGTTTTTTCAATGTTGTTTTCTTTTCCAGAACTACTTCCACCTCCTCACTTTCTTCATCTTCTTCTTTTTCAGCATCAAAAGCTGGATCCTCACTGTCTGATCCACTATCAGTATCACTTTTCTCATCTTCTTCATTTTCCTCCTCTGATTGTTCTTCAATGATTTTTGTTTTCTTCAAAGGGCCTTTAGCTGATGCAGCAGGCCTCTTCTGGCCACCTAAACATTTGATCAATTATAATATGTAAAATGAACGTATATATGAAAGTGTAAATTGCTAGTTTGTATTTGAACATTTAACTTTATTAATATGTACATTACCTTTTTGTTCTACTTTTTTAAGAATTTTCTTTTCTGCAGTAGCAGAACTTGTTGCAGGGACTTCTTCTTGTTCTTCATCCTCTGATGGTTCAGGCACTTGATCTATGACTTTTCTTTTTTTTGCAGGACCTTTGGCTGATGCAACAGGTCTTTTCTGACCACCTAATTATTTGATCAATTATATTAAGTAAAATAAACATTTTCAAACTGTAAGATTGTAATTGAACATTTATTGTTTTAGATATGTTCTTTTACCTTTTTGGCCTGCTTTCCCAATAACTGCAGCCCTTGTACGCCCTGTTTTCTCAACAGGTTTCTCTGCAACTGCAGCCCTTGGACGCCCAGGTTTTTTGGGTGTTGTTGCTGCTGGTAGGTTTTCAGCAATTGTTGCAGCAGCTGTTGCTATAGCTGATATGCTAGGCAACTTAACATCTGCAAATAAACATTATTATATAAATATTAATATAGTTGTAATATTTTATTTAATATGATCATTGTTATATTAGAAATTGTACATTTTATTTACCTTGTGATTTACTTCTTGTTCTTCTTGCTGGTGATTGTTCATCTTCCTGTTTTTTCTGATTTTCTTCCAATTCTTTTTTCTTTTGATTTTTCCTTGCAACCATTTTCCTTCTTGGTTGCTTTGAATTTTGTGAAGATTCTTCACTCTTTTGAGACAAATTTAACTCTTCAACAGGTTTTATACCTCTCAATATTCTTGCCAACTCCTCATCCCTTTGCAATTCTTCTTGTCTTTGTCTTTCCAATTCTTCTTCTGTTTCATCCTCAATCTCAATTTCTTCACCACCTATACATTTTGATCATTTACAAATTGGTAAATGAACATTTTCAGTATAAGTGTTATTGATAAAAAAAAATTTAATATTTAATTTAACAATTATGTACATTACCTAATAGGATTTTTTTAATTTCAGCAGGGGCCTTCTATTGTGCATTGGCAGAACTTGCTGCATGGGATTTTTCTGCAGCAGAGGACTTTTCAGTAGTTGTAGCTGGGGCCATTTCAGCAGCAGTGGCTTTTCCAGCAGTATCAACAGTTGTAGCAGGGGCCTTTTTAGCAGCAATGGCCTTGCTAACAGGAGCAGTTTTCCAGTTTTTGGTCAATTTTTTTAGTATTCCCTGAGTTGACACTTTTATTTTTTTTCCTGGCAATAGATAATTTATGATCAATAATATTGTAAATGTGGAATATAAACATTTAATAAGTTATATATGTTCATACTTTTGCATTATGTATGAATGTGTTTCTTCAACTGCTGCTGGAGGCTCATCCTCTTTTGGAGGCTCTTCCTCTGCTGGAGGCTCATCCTATTCTATAGCCTTCACTTGTGGTGCAGGCTGATCCTTTGTTGTAGTCTCTTTTGGAGGCTCATCTTCAGTTGATTCATTTCTGAAAATTAAAAATTGAAAATGATTAAAAATGTTTATCAACTAATATGAAAATGAACATTAGTTGATCAAATACCCTGCTGCATCCTTTTTTGGTTGTAGTTGTTCAACCTCTCTTGTGTCTTTCTTAGGTGATTGATTTCTAAAAATCAATTAATTTCAAATGATTAAAAATGTTTATTAAGTAATATGAAAATGAACATTATGGGAATCAAATACCCTGTATTCACTAATTCTGATCCAGCTTTTTCTTGTTGTAGGTGATTAGTTTTTGCTTCCTCTTCAGTTGTTTTTTTTTTTTCTGAGAATGCAAATCATTAGATTATGTATGACAACTAAGAAATAAATTAACATTAAACACATTGAGGTAGAATATACCCTTGATTTGTTGATGCATCATCTATTTTTGAAGTTTCCTTCTCTTGTTCACTGAATTTTTTTTGAATGTTAATACATAAAAGTATGATTATGTAACTGTATAAAAATAAATTATTGAATTTTTATTAAGTATTTATACCTTATTGATTGATTTTTCTCTGGCCTTGATCTTGACATTATAAATTTCACTTTCAACTTTTTTGGTTCACTAAAATTTTACAAATTATGTCAATTATGAGATTAAGTATTGAAAATGATTGTACATTAAATATTACATATATGAATATTTGTAAGTACATCAACTTACTTGGGATGTAGGTTGTCTCCTAATAAATAGGGTTCCCACTTTTTTATAACTTCATTTCTATCCAATTTGTTGTCTATTTCAGAACATTCTTTTCTCTCATGAATTATAGGATAAGGATTGAACATTCCATTGTCAAATTGCATCAAGTGTATCACTTTAAATGGTACATCACTACAATGTAAATTTATATTGTAAATCATAAAAATTGACATGATGTTTCTATGTTAGACAAATGTACAGAATAGTTCATATAAATGATCAATATAGTTGTAGCAATGAACATTTGTATACACATATATGGATATATATAACATAATATGAATTTTGACCACATAGTGTTTTGTAAATGTTCATTTTACTACACAGATGAATAAAGTATATGTTTTCTACTTGTACAAAATAAAATTTAGAAATGAACAATTAATATGTCAGTAAATGTATACACATAAATTTAGAAACAAACAATTTAGAAACAAACATAAATTGCATGTTGTACACATACTATACAAATTTGAACATATGTACACGTATATATATGCACACATATATGCACACAATCCAATTTGAACATATACTATTTTGTATTTGTTCATTATATTTCACAATACTATACGTTATATTTTTTTTTCCACAGTTCGTTTTTTTTGTATATTTTATATAGTTTTTGGTTGATCATTTAATCAAAATTATGCATACATTCCAATATTAACAGTAACTTGTTTAAATTTTTATTATCGTATCAGAAATAGAGGAAAATTATGTTTATATTGAAATTAAACAATAACTTGTTTAAATATGAGCAAATTTAAATAAAATTATGCTTATAATTCCAAAAAAATTAGTAATAATTACTTTGATCGTTCTGGAACTCCAGGATTTTCAATTTTTATCCTGAAACATCATCAAAAAGAAAAAATACCAAAAAATTAGGGTTTGTTTCGCAATTTTCAATTAATTTTACACTAAACATGTAAAACATACTTACTCATTAGATTTTTGGTTTGTTCTTGTTGAAATTTGTCGAGATTGTGCAATTTCGTCTCTTATGTCGGACATTTTAGACGATTTTACTTGCTAATTGCATGTACGAAAATGGAGTAGAGAGAGAAAATGGAGGTTGAGTGAGAAATTGGAGAAAGAGGATGAGAGAGAAAATGCAGAGTAAATGTGATCATTTGAAAAGTTTTTTTTTTTTTAATTATATATATATATGGGTGGGGTAGTGGGAAGTTACTGGCGGTTTTAGAGGGAAGTTACTGTGGGGTAGGTTGGGATGTGTGGGGGTAGTGGTACGCGTCGTTTAGGGGGGTGTAGGGATAAATGGCTAAACTAGAGTCTAGCCATAAATAATTAAATATATACCGGCTTAACTAAGGCCAAATCACTCACTAAAGGGAACCGCTATTTATTTAATAAATATATTTAATAAATAGCGGTTCCCTTTAGACCCCCATAAACAAAGGCTATTTATTTACCAAAAATGGCTAACCAAATTCGTTGACTTAGTAATTGTTCTTCTCCTTCTTCTCCAACAACACTTAAACTGTTTATATTCCACGTCTTCTCCTTAATTTTTTTTCAAGTCCCCAATATTTTCTTTCTCCCTTCATAATCTAAACCCAAAACAAGTCCATATATAAAATAAAGCTTGTTCTTGTTTTATTTGTAAATTAAAGAAAATTATAAAGAAGACTTTATCAATATTAGGAAAGAACCTCGAATATTCAAAACGTAAAGTTTTCTCATTTTTGCTGCTTCTTTTCTGCTTCCTTTTTTTTTTTTGTTTGTTTAAGTATTAGTATCAGATTTTGGGGGAGCATTACTCTTGTATTATTATAGGAAAATAATTACAAGAAGTCGATATTTTGGTTAATTTAAGTTGCTATTTTCGCCGTAACTTTGAAGAGACAAAGATGGGGAATTGCTTATGGGGGTCTAATGAAGAAGTTAGCAATCCCATTATTAATAATCCTCGAGGTTAGTATATACATTAATTAATACATATATTACTTTAAATATCTTTTTCTTTAACTGGAGTAGCCCACGCGCGCGTGGAGTGGCTAGTTGTTGTAGTGAATCTTTTAGCTTGTGTTACAGTGGCCACACAAAAGCAATGGATTGGTAATCATTTTGTTTCTGACAAAGATTGGTAATCAATTTAGAAATTAGAACATTTTAACTTGAGAAGCATATAATTTGTTTTCAGTGCTCGTGAACTAATTGCTTGTGATTTAGAAATAAGAACATCTTCACTTGAGAAGCATATAATTAGAATTGTACATGCAATATCATGCTTTCCTCACTTTTAATTTGACATCATCAATCGATATAATCCCCTAATCTATCAAAAGATCAGCAAATAAGCGAAATCAGACAACTCAAAGTTAGATAATTCATATATTGAAGTTCTTATTCCTCACATACAGAGTACCTTGTAAACAGCATCTCGGCAAATCAAAATAAAGCAAAGGAGAGAGATGAATCTTGAGTCTAGCATATACACAAAAGGCAAGTGAAATATTGAAATTTTTTATTGAATTTTTTGATCCTTTTAATAAACAGCAGAAAATTAATGCATTCACAAATCTAAGTGAAGCTATCCCATTAAACTTCCTAGAATCCTAGATGTTAAAGGAATACATTAACCCATCTCTAATACCAAATAATTAGTAATTGAAACAGTTTATTAATTCTATTTACATCAATTATAAAAGAACTACCAAACATGCTAATAGTGAACTTGATATCCTTTGTTAGCACAATATAATCACCAATGAGAACTGAAATTGATAGTAAATAATGCTAAAGATGCCCCTCACCTCAGAAATTTGAACTTGTCTATACCTCTTTGAAGGTAAAAATACAATTCATCCATAAATGCCTCTGGAAGAAGTAGCATTAAAAAAATAATAATAAACAGCCATATAGCATAAATTACAGTATACATAATTACTCCATAAGGATTTTGGTTGCAGTATGGTAATATACACTTCCATATGAAGTATATACCTGAAATTTCGTAAAGGTAAAAAACTAAAAGTCATACCAATTTCATCATACATTTCAAACATTATTATTCCATTTAATTTCAAATTAATTGAGTAGATGTTTCAAATTCATCCACCTAATTTCTCTTTTGTCTAAGGGTGTTTTGGCATTAAAAAAAAGTAAAAATAAAATATGGGGTAAAAACGTAAATAAACATTTTGAAGGTTATAACCGTTCATGCACTATTCATAAGTGTAATCTTACACTTTTTATAAGGTAGGGATAGGGATTTGGTTATTTGTATTCCTTTTTTTTTTTTTCTCTGGTTTCAATTGTTAGTACATTTTTTTTAGATCATCAAGAAAGATGATTTATATATTAACATGTTGATAAAATGATATAAGTGGTAGTTTAATCCTTAGTTTCTAAACCATTAAAAGGAATTAAAACAAATTTATCAATAAATTAAGTAACTTTTGAGCTTTGATTATGTAAATATATGAATATTAAAATGTTGTGCATATGTTCATAAAATCATAAAGTATGGGCTTTGTCAAAAGGAAAAATTGCCCGCAATAATCCGACCTTTTGACCGTCCGCTGAAAATAATCCCACCTATGGATTATTTTTAAATAATCCCACCTTTATACCCACTCCGCTATAAATGGTCCCAACCGGTCATGCATGTAACCTGTTATATCAAGTTACTTGACACGTGGCGGCCTGTGATTGGTCTAAAAAATAAAAATAAAATAAAATAAAATAAATTTATAACAAAATATTAATATTAAAATTAATATTTTTTATAAAAACAAAAAAAAAACCCACCCCAGCACCGCCTGAGTCCCCACCTCCGCGGCTCCGGTCACCAGAACCCACCCCAGCGCCGGCATCGGGGTCCAACCCCAACCCACTCCAGCGCGGCTCCAACCCCCGACTCCAGCCCCAACCCAAACCCAACCCCAGCACGACTCCAATCCCACCGCAGCGCCGGCGACCTCCTTCCCCCTCCCCCGAACCACAACCCACTCCAGCGCGACTCCAACCCCAGCACCGACTCCGAACCCAACACCTTGCAAACTCTCTAAAACCCTCGATCTCAGCCCCTTTGCCCTTTTCCGTCCCTTTTCCGGCTACCTCCCTTCCCCACGCCCCAATTTCGACCCTCAATTTATGGTTTGTGGTGGATTAGTGGCGATGGAAAGGGGTAGGGAGGGTCGGAGAATGGCGCGCGAGGGTCTTCGGTGTGGCTGGCTTCTCCGGGCCTCGTCTGGTAGGGTTGGCGAGGTGGCTGGTTTTTTTTTATAATTTTATTTATTTTAAATTGTTAATTAATGTTAATTAACTGTTAATTATTAATCAATTCTTAAAATCAAAGTTAAAATTAAAACTTTTTTTTGACCAATCACGTTGTGACACGTGTAAATAAAACTTAAAAAAAAAATTACCTCCTCAACCGGTCACAGGTCACTTGGGACCATTGAGAACGGATTAGCTATAAAGGTTGGATTATTTAAAAATAATCCAAAGGTGGGATTATTTTGGGAGGACGGCCCAAAGGTGGGATTATTCCGGACAATTTTTCCTTGTCAAAAATGGTGGCTTACCTTTTTCCAATGATTGGAAATAACTATTTTTTTTTATTTCGATCTTGCTAACGAACGCCCCGGGACGTTAGATAAGGATAAATTATATTGGTTGAAATGGTATTAAGTTAGGAATTCATGACAAAATCACGCGTCGTTCGGTGTAATTAATGTTAATTTTACTCTAATATTTGCACTTTAATTCTCTTATCTAACGTCCTGGGGGCGCTCATTAGCTTTTGCCTTTTTATTTTTATGATTTGGTTTGCCTTGAAGTTTTTGTGGACGTTGGTATTTTAAAATAAGATATTTTGTAGGTGGAAGCATTAATGTTTTTCCTGTGCTCATACATGTTAAATTTTTATAATTTTCTACATTTGGTGATTATTGTTATGAATTTTGTTTCACAAGACAATTTTTCATAATAATCATAGTGAATCTTTTGGTGAAAAAAAAAAAAACCTTGAATGACCTTTTTTAATTGAAACATTTTACACTAAACTATCCCTATAATATTTATATGATAAAATACTCACATATATAGTTTAACCGTATCTAAAACTTACATGAACTTTACTTTGTATATGTGATTATGTAGAGTTCAACAACTTTAACCAGCCAGGTATGATGCGTAACAACGTTAATGGTGTTGGAGGTGGAGCAAGAGTACATGGACCGGTGGTAGGACGAATAATAAAACCAGACTTGAAAATATACACATTTATAGAATTAAAAAGCGCAACAAGAAACTTTAGACCGGATTCCGTGTTAAGTGAAGGAGGGTTTGGGAGGGTGTACAAAGGATGGATTGATAAAACAACATTGGCACCTTCTAAAGTTGGTGTTGGTATTCCTGTTGCAATCAAGAAATGCAATGCTGATAGTGAACAACAAGGTCTAAAAGAATGGAAGGTAAGTTTTCATTTCTTCTTTTTGTCCCTTTTTTTTAAAGTGTGGAAATTTTAAATCAAAATGGAAAAAAAAAAACACTCTTCTACTACTATAGTCTATAAAAGTACTAAATCGACTTCCCATTACTTGCATTAGTTTGAATTTTAACATTATTCAAATACCTTTTATCAATTTTGACCGTATTTTCTTATTTACAAGTAAAATCAAATGTTGTACTACTATAAGCATTAGTTCTATATACCTATTTAACTTATTTAATTTAAACTTATCTTACCTTGTTTTTAACTTCAAAATATATTACACCTTATTAGTAAAAATTATTTTAGTTGTAAATTGAACTTGAATAGCCCTTAACAAATCTTACCTTGTTTTTAACTTCACATTAGTGCAAACAAGATGAACTAAAAAGTGTCTAAGTGGAATACTTATTGGATTATTCTCAACTTGTATTTTACAATAAATACTGTTACTACTCTATATCAAATTTCCTACAATCATCACTATATATATTTATTAGTGTTCTCCATTAGAGTTGTCAAAAGCTGACCCGACCCGAGATTCCGACCCTAACCCGACCTATTAACCGACTCGTTTAAACCCGAAAAAAATGGTGACCCGAACCCGACCTAAAACCAACCCTAGACCCGAGTATTTGAGACCCGAACCCGAACATTAACCGATCTAGAGACGACCCGACCCGAATGTAACCCGTAAATTATTGACCTGAATCGAAATTGACCTAAACCCGTTTTAACCCGTCAAAACCCGAATTCAACCAGACCTGTTCCTAACCCGACCCGAATTCAACTCGACCTGTTCCTAACCCGACCCAAATTTAACCCGACCTGCTACAAACCCGACACAAATTTTAACCCGACCTGTTACAAACCCGACCAGAATCAACCTGACATCTTATTGACCCGACCCAAATTCAACCCAACTTGTTATTAAATCAATATGTATAGGTCGACAGACCGTTATCTCATGTTGGTATTGGAACGAAAATTGAATCCTAACTCTATTCCTTCAATATTTCACTTTGAATTTTAAGAGGTTAGTTTCACAACATGTTTTTAAGGACGAATTTCAAGAACAAAACATGTTTTCCGCAAATTATTGACTTGAACCGAACCTGACTTGAACCCGAGAATGACCTGACTTGGAAATAACCCTACTTAGCTTGATTATAACCCACAAATTATTGACTTGAACCGAACCAGACTTGAACCCGAAAATGACCCGACCTGATTATAACCTGTAAATAATTGACTTGACCCAAACCCGACTCGAACCCGTAAATGACCCTAACTCGTTTAAACCCGTAAAAACCCGAATTTAACCCGACCTATTTTTCACCCGACCCGAATGTGACTCGACCTTTTACTAACCCAACCTAAACCCGACCCAAACCCGATAAAGTGTATGACCTGACGTGACCCAACTCAAGCATGACCCAACCCGAACCCGACCCGCATATGTTATGAAATTAACTCGTATTGACCCGACCCACACAAACCCGACTCGTTTACCCGAATTGACAGCTCTACTCTCCACTACTTAATATTTTTGGTACGCCAGGCCAGTCTACCATACATATTCTCGCCTGCTCTTATAATTTCATTTCCAACTTCAATATATTATGGCACGATGTTACAATTTTGTCGAATAGGAATCAATAATTTTTAAGTTATTTATTTATTTTTGACGGAAAAAAAGCGTTATCTAAATATTATATTGACCTTTAAAATTTTTTTTTCTTAAAAATGTTGACCTTTAATCGATTACTTTATCATCAATTTATATAATAAGTTATTCATTTATTTTTTTTGGAAAAAATAAGTAACACCTTAAATCAATAAAATGACATACAAAGTATATACATCCAGTGATTTGTAAACTATAGACCTTCAAATACGAGTTGATTTTTTTGTTATATATTAATCCGTATTTGATACGGAGTAATAATGTTTCGTTCTTTAACATTATTTATACACGAATAACATAGACTCATATATATTAATCCGTATTCGATAATAATTTTTCATTTTTCTAATTCATGAAAGTTGTTTATTCGATGGTGATGCAGACAGAGGTCAATTTCTTGGGGAAGTTTTCACACCCAAACCTTGTGAAATTAATTGGTTATTGCTGGGAAGATAAGGAGCTTCTTCTTGTATATGAGCAGTTAAATAAAGGAAGTCTTGAAAACCATCTTTTTCAAAGTAAGCATTCACTTCTTCTTCTTTTTTTTTCCCCATATGTACGGCTACTCTTTAAGTTTCTAGAAATTAGTTCGACTCAATTATTTATAAACTAGCTCATTTTCCATGAAAATGTTTTATGTCATATATGTGTGTGTTTCTAGAAATTAGTTCGACTCAATTATTTATAAAATAGCTCATTTTCCATGAAAATGTTTTATGTCATATATATATATATATATATATATATATATATATATATATATATATATATATATATATATATTTCCTTCGTTATGTTAATATTGTAACAAGGAGGAAATTACGCATCCCAAAACAAATTTTATATGCTAAATATCTATAATTGTGTAAGAGTAAAAATTATAAAAAGTTGATATTGTGAAAGTATTTTATGAGACGAATCCAACAAGATCTCACTTGACTATATTTTACTTAACGTATAACTCATATTATATGGTCAAACAAGAGTGATGAATAGTGCAAAAAGTCCATTGTTGCAATATTAATAGAATAGAGAAGTATATATATATATATATATATATATATATATATATATATATATATATATATATATATATATATATACACACGGGGTGATTCCGCTGAAAACAAGGTTTATGCTGAAAACAAGGCTTATACTGAAAACAACAAATCTCAACCATTCATTATTAGCACAAAATATTATACGGTTCAAAATCCCCAACCTTACATGTAATCAATTTAATCGTTTTAAAGGTCACTAAATACTAAATAAAGGTAATTTTTTCTAAATTGACGACATTTAGATAGAGTCACTATATATATAAAAATAACGTAACTATATCAATTTTGAGTTTTTGACGATAATTACATAGAGGTCACTATATATAAAAATAAGGTAATTATTTCAAGTTATATTAATTTTGGCGATATTTACTCATACATAGTATATAAAAACATTACCACTGTTGCCGATTTTCAATTTTGACGACGCTTGCATTGCACAATCAAATAATAAAGACATTACCACTGTTGCCGATTTTCAATTTGACTAACCTCTACACCACCATTGTTATACCTCCATTGGAAAAGCAATTTCAATCACACTTACCACCATTTTTTCTTCATTTTCAACCCCCCCTTAAAAAATTTATACTTAATTCATCAACAATCCACACCATTTTTCCAATTAATTGCACAGACTCATAGTTCTAACACCTCTAATTTTGTAATCAACACAATATATTCTAGGTTTTTTTTTTAATTTAATCGAAATCACAATTGTATCAATTTCATTTCCCCAAAAAAATCGTAGAATATAGCAAATTAAACACAAATCATAAATGAGGAACTCACTTTTTTAAAGCTAACGTCGAAATCGATGAAGATTGAACCAAATCTCTATGTATTTTGACGAATTTTAGCATTGATTTTGAGTTGGGAAGGAGAGAGGAGGGAGATGGAGGAGAGAGAAAATAGAATATATAAAAATAAAGGAGAGATAATGGATTGTCAAAAACACTTAAATGCACCAGATCTGATCTAATTCGTTGGATGAAATTTCAATGGTCCAGATTACCTGTTTTTAGTTTTCAGCTTTAGACTTGTTTTCACCTGATCCATTCCATATATATATATATATATATATATATATATATATATATATATGGAAAAATTAGAAATAATAATCTCAACTTTCATCGATTTTGGAAGAATAATCTCAACTTTTGATTATTCTGGAATAATCCGAACTTTGGGAGTTCCTCTTTTTCTTCAATCCCAAACCGGTCAATGACCTATTTTTAAGGTCACTTGACACATGTCAAGTCTTGATTGGTCAAAAACTTAAAAAAAAATAAAAAAAACATACAAAAAAACAAAAAAAAAATAAAAAAAACCATCAGCCTCCCATTCCCCCACCAGCCTATGCCGCCTTCGCCACCACTTCCCCCCACCAGTCGTACGCCGTCGAGTCTCCCCTCCCACACAGAACCGTCGCATCATCCCTTGCCACCTAGGACCGCCGAATCGACGTTTTCCCCCCTCCCCGAAATCCCCTCCCACAACCCCACATAACCACCAATGAAACCCTTCCCCACTGCCAAAAATCCCAAATTACTCCTCCCACCACCTCGAAACCCTAGCGGCTAGAGTTTTCGATGGTGGGGGATGGGTTTTTGGTGATTTTCGAGGGTAGGGGAGGTGGTTTGAAGGGGTTTTCGAATGGAGGAGGAAGAAATTTAATTTCAAGGGAAAGAGTGGTTGCCGGAAAACAAGAAAGGGAGAAGGAGGGAGGTTGGGGGATCGCAACACCGGCTCATAAGGAAGGGAAACCGGCGGAAAAGAGGGGAATCAGCGACGCAGGGGGCGGGTAATAGCAGCAGCCGATGGTTTTGGGGTTTAGCTGGTGGCTGAATCTGGGTTTGGGTTTTATTGGTGGTCGGGGTTGGGTTTGCAGGGAGAAGTTTTATTGGTAGTTGCGTAGGGTTTTGGAGATGGTGGTGTAGAGTGGACGCCGGAGCGGCTACTCTGCTAGTGGGGGAGAGACGGCGGTCGGCGAGGGAGGTGGCTGGCTGGGCAGGTTACCTAACTGGCTGGGTTTCAAAATGGGTGTTTTTTTTTTTTTTTTTTTTTTTTTTGTATTTTAACCAATTAAATCGCGACACGTGTCACTTAAATACAAAAAAAAAAAAAATTCAACCCATTCAACCGGTATTTGGGATTGAAGAAAAAAGAAGACCCACAAAGTTCGGATTATTCTAGAATAATCGAAAGTTGGGATTATTCTTCCAAAATTGATGAAAGTTGGGATTATTATTTCTAATTTTTCATATATATATATATAGTCAAAATGTAAATTGGATGGATTATAAATTGTTGGCAACTTTTTAAAAAAATGTTGGCCTACTAAACAAAAAAAATCTTATACAGTGTATATATGTATGTTGTACAGACAAAGTAGAGTCCCTATCATGGACAACAAGAATAAACATAGCATTGGACGCAGCTCGAGGCCTTGATTTCTTGCATACATCAGAGAATACTGTTATTTATCGAGATTTTAAAGCTGCTAGCATTTTGTTAGATGAGGTATGTACTAATTTACCTTTTTTATAGGCCAGTTTTTAGAGCTGGTTTACTAACTTCTACTCCGTAACTTTTAAGCGTGAAATTAAAAAGGGCTAGAGGGCCGAATCTCATTAAACACATTATGGGTGCCTTAAAGATGGACCTTCTCCTTACCATTTACCAATAATTTTTTAAAAAACTTAACCTCTACTGCTATAATGTTATTTTAATTCTTATTTTTGTAGGTATGAAATTTTTCTATGGAGGCGGATGCACGATGCTCCGTGCATCCGTTTTCTCTTTAAAAACGCGGAATGAACATTCCGTTGTTCAGTAAAGAACATACATTTATTTTGTAAAGACCATATATCTTTTTCATAAAGAACATCACATATAACTGTACTGTAATGAATATATAGTTGTTTTATAAAGAACATATACCTATTTTGTAAAAAAAAAACATCCAACTTCATGTTCTTTATATATATCTAAAGAACATCCGTAATATTAATTAAAAAGATGATAATTAGAGGTGATCAACTTTGGCCCGACCAGACCCGATCCGATCCAACCCGAAAATAGGGCAGGTTTAGACAAGCCTAAAAATGCATTTTTAGTTTAAAAAATCCAAACTCGGTCCAAAAAAAGCCGAAAAGCCCACTACATTTTTCGGGTTTTTTGGACACGAGATATTATGTTATAGCCCAGCCTGACCCGAATTTTTTATCACCTTTAATGATAATATAATGTAATGAACATTATTTTTATTCAACCGCCATAATCTAAAGACAAAATTCAAAGAACATTTCAAATTAAACAATTAACATATGTCACAAATAAAAGTACATTATTCTGACAATCAAAGAACATGAAGATAAAGAACATTATTTAACTGCACGTTATATTCTTTACAATTTTATAAAATGTTCTTTGTATTTTAACGGAATGTTCTTTACATTTCTGTATAATGTTCTTTACAATTCTATAATATGTTCTTTTCACTTAAACTAAATGTTCTTTATATTTCTATACAATGTTCTTTCCGCTTTTTTTTTGGAAGAGATGCACCATGTGGATCGTGCATCCGCCTGCACGAACCATGCATTGGTACTAAATCAAATAATAATAGTATGGTTTGAATGTTCCGTGTATTTGACTCAGAATTTTGGAGCGAAGCTTTCAGACTTTAGTCTTGCAAGAATAGGCCCACCGGTTGATGAATCTCATGTCACCACCCAAGTTGTGGGCACGTATGGTTTTGCTGCTCCTGAATATATTAATACTGGTAATTAACCAATATCCTTCTTTCTTTACTAAATAAAGTTTATAATACTATTATCATAATTAACCAATACTGGTCATTACTCATTAACCAATATCCTTCTTTTCTTTTTCTTTCTTTACTAATGAAAATGTTTATACTATTATCATAATGTTTTTTTAACACAAAAAGAAGCATATATATTACTTGGGCAAAGCCCTAATAATAATTACAACATAATAATCAAAGTAGTGCGAATTGCAAAATGCACACTTTGAATACCATCATTACCCAAGCTTAGTAGTACATAAACATTAGAAAGTGTCCAGGAAAGCAAAAGCAAAAGCAAAAGATTAGACATAACATTCAGAAGGCTAGGGGGCAGGGCGATCTTCCAATCCCTTGAGATCCTCTTCATAAGCAGCAACAGCACTAGTAGGAACAACATAGTGAGGAGTATGGCCCAAGCTCATAGTCATAGCATACTTGGCCAAGTAATGGGCTAAGGAATTAAGTTCCCTAGTTATAGTGTTAAGGACAATGACCATTTTGCTGTTATTGAGGGCTCTAGCAACATCAATGAGGACTGCAGCCAATTCATTATGCATATTATCACCCTCCCTATTAAGAAGATTCTTAATGTTTTGCGCATCCGTCTCCACCTCCAAAAATTGAAGAGGCATAGCTTGAGCAAAGTTAAGACCCTCCCTAAGAGCATAAAGTTCTGCCCCCAAAGAATTAGGAGCATTATATTTGCTCGAGTAACCAAAGAACCATTCACCCTTATCATTTCTGAACACACCTCCACCTCCTCCCTCATCCTTTAAGATCCAAGCTCCATCAGTATTAAGTTTCATCCAGCCACGGATTGGAGGTCTCCAGCAAGGAACTCTGACAACTGAGGGTCCTGCTGCATCAGAAGCTTTGTTCTTGCATCCTCTAGTTCCCTGTAAAACAAAGGAGTTGATCTGGTAATCTATACTGAATCTGTTGAACACAGAGTGACAGTTATAGACTTCATCCTTAAAAATGAATCTATTTCTCAACTTCCATATGTGCCAAAGTCCCATGATGAAAATTGACTTCCATTTTGGAGTTTGAGACAAGTTAAAAAGGAGCCAATCATTCCAACTCGAATTCATAAAGATGGAATAGTTGAAATACAAAGGAGGTTTAATTTTGTGGAAAATCATCTTCCAGAGAATGCTAGAAGAGTAACAGTCTCTGAAAAGATGAATGAAAGATTCCTGAGCTGAAGAGCACCTAGTGCAAATGGGATTAAAACCAGGGAATCTAGAAGAGAGAAGATAAGCAAAGGGAAGAATAATACAGTTCCACATGAACATTTTATATTTGAATGGTACTCCAAGCTTCCAAAAGGAATTCCAACTAAAGGAGAAAGGGATAGAATAAGGAACATGATTTTTCTGGAGAAAATAAGCTGATTTGATAGTGAAAGAACCAGAATCATGATATTCCCACCTAACCTGATCAGGAGAAGAAGCAGGGCCATTGATGGAAAAAGGAGTACTAAGAATAAGGGTACAGATATAATGTTTCTACTTCTTAATTCTATAACAGTTGTACAATTCTCCCTTTTGTATGAGAGAGGTGATATTTTCTACCGGATCAAAATCTCTCATAGATCCTTCCGATTCAAGTTATCGGGTTAGGCATTTTGGGAGTAGGGGGAAGGGTAAGGGAATCCCCACCCCAAAGTGCCTCTAGTGGGATTTGATTGCACAACCTCATGATTGTAAGATACAAACTTTACCATTAGATCAGGCTATGCTTGGTACATGTACAGATCAATATGGTTTTAGTTTATCGTAACAAAATTTAAACAAATGTGAATACATTAAGACAGACGAAATATTAGTTTTTTGGAAAGAAACAACACAATTACTGTTTATGAAGAAATAGTATAGCTTCAATATTGTTTGTCTTTTTATACCATGGACCAACATAATTAACTTAAACATGTAGAATTTCTTGAAAAAAATAATTGATGTTTAATGTTGAATATTGTTGTGTAGGTCACTTATACGTAAGGAGTGACGTGTACAGCTTCGGAGTTGTATTATTGGAGATATTAACGGCCTTTAGGGCCTACGACTTAAATAGGCCCACTGGACAGACAAGCTTAGTGGACTGGTCCAAGCCCATGCTAAGTGAAAAGTCCAAAGTGAAGAAGATAATTGACCCAAGAATGGACGATTACCCACCCGAAGGTGCAAACAAGTTGGCCCAACTCATATTAAGATGTCTTCAAAACGATCCAAAAAACAGGCCACCGATGTCCGAGGTCGTTATAATATTAGAAAGGATAAGTACCATTAGGATGAACCCAAAAGGCTCCAAGCCCGGTTCTTCTAAGACCAAAAGGCCCCATAGTTATCACCCTTCTCCGGCCCAACGTCAAAATGGTTTAGGTGGAGGCTCCAGCCCAAGACCCAGACCTGTTACCAAGTAGCCTGTCTTTGGCGAATCGCGACACTTGTAGAAATTAGGTTTGTAAAACATGTATGATTGTGTGATGGAAATTTTTTTTAGAACGATTTCCATAAATAATGCTTCATGTATATTATTATTATACTTAGTTTTGAAAATGTTTGAAAATGAAATTAAGAGTTTTACTCAACCAGAATTGAAATGGGAATACATTTTATTTTTCTAGATGGTAAAACTCCATAATGTATCGGCAGTTTTCTCTATTAATGTACATTAGCCTGCTTTAGTGGAGAAGAATGGAAGAGAATTCCTTGACTGACATTAACGTCTACTCCGCATTTGATTGTTTGGAATTTTTTTGATTGTTTGTCACTCTAACTTTCCAGGATTTCCAAATTTTCTTACGTTGTAGAGGGGTACCCCATTCGTCCATTTATAATATTTGGTGTTTATGTTCTTCACCAAACTTACTGAATTGCGTATTTTCTTCGATTTGTTTGATAAAAGCATGAATTAGTTAGTATATTTTCTGAATTTATTATATTGATTTGTTACAAATAATTCAGTACAGGACTACCTTATAGAATTTGTTACACCATTAATGAATAATTAGTACTCCTTAGTAATAGTTTATAGGAAGGAAACTTCTAAAATATTTGAAAGGGCATCACAAATTAATATTCTACCATCGATCATCTCAACGCACTTGTAAGATAATATGTTAAATCATTAAAGTTTATTGATTAGTCTCACTTTTATACAACTAAGTTACTTAATTAGTAATATAGGGATTAACTCTATTAGCATAATATGAGTTACTTTGTCAGTGTTATATGAGTTACTTCATTTTTTTACAAGCAGACACACGGTGTCACGGTGTGACTAGCCGCACAGAATAAATCATGCACTCGATTAACTTAATAAATATTCCATCGATTTCTAGCCAAGTATATTGATAAATATAATACGAAGCATATAGTATAAAAATCAATCATGAACTTCAACTACCAACTGAAATAATTCTTTTCCTATCAAAGTAGTATATCAATTAAAGGCTATGGGGAGACCCATATTACATCCATATTTTAATTCGTAAGATTTAATTTGAGAGGACGTGATAACTTAAATAAACAAATCTTATGTTTTAGGATTCGTTTGGCATCGCTGTGGTTTTCTGTTTTTATTTTATTTTATTTTTTATTATTTTTATTTTTCAAACTTATATGATATGTCATATACTACATCCGGATCATGTTATATGCAACTTTGAATTTTTTTATATCTTACAAATAATACCCCAAAGTTGCATATAATACGATCCGGAGGTAGTATTTTTTTTGAGGAAAATATGATATATATGTCATCTAATGAAACAAAAATTATACAACCTTATTAAAATCATGATATTTTTTAAAACAGACAATAAAAAAGTGGAAATACCTTTTTCTTGTTTCTTTTTTTTTTTTTTTTTTTTTTTTGGTAAAAAAACAGAAAATTGAAAACAAAAAACAATGTCAAACAAGCCCTTAACCATCCGTTTAAATTTATATGGTGTTGGTCCTTTGACATTTTTTTTTTAATTAATGGGGAAACTTACTATAGTCTCCATAAATGTAAAGTCTAACTTATGTTATTTATGCATGTTTAGCCAGCCTTCTAGTTTTTTCACAAAAGAAATTAGCCCTTGTCTTCCCAACGACCCTAACTAGTCTGAAGCTAGCTAATAAGCAACACCATATGATAAAGTATATATAAAACATAATCTTTGATCTCAACCATCAGCTTAACTTTTTAGTCAAATTTATTCTTTAACCTGATATACGAATAATCGATCAATAACATGACACAAATATCACAGGTAGGTTCAAATCTCACCAATCCCTCATTTAATCATTTTAAAGTGAAATTATTTTGCGTTGGATATGAGAAGGTCTAAGTTGCATCTACAGTGTAGCATCAGGTAATCATTTGCATTTTTTATTTTGATAAGTTTTGCACGAATAACAATTTTCAAAATTTAGAGCACCAAACTCCCAATAACTCTTATTATTGCACTGTCTCCTTCATACTTCATGTTTGGGTCCTCATGCATTACAACTCAATGAATTAAACTCTAATATAAGGCAAACAACCTATTACAATATAAGACTCTAACTCAAGTTCCTCAACAAACTTGAGTTCCCCTTTAACCGATCCCTTAATCAGTTGAACGCTCAAAACTCTCTCTATCTCCTTGCTTTACTCAAAGCAATAGACACTCTAGAGTTCACTCAAACTCTTACCCCATACAACTCAATGAATTAAACTCTAATATAAATCACAAGGATACTTTTAGACTCAAGTGGAATAAGTAAGAATAAATATGCTAGAATGCTCAAATGTATTTTTGCAAACTGAGGAAAGCGTTATTTATAGAGTTAGAAATGCATCCACTAAACAGTTAGTTAGTTCCACTAACTCCACGTTCCTCAAATTGGGGAGCACGTAGAAGTGAAATGCTTGTGCTGCAAGTGAACGCAACTAACCCACGATTTTTTCAAACTCTAAAACTGCTTTCTTAATTTTCTCAACCAATTTGACCGATTAAAACCCACGTAAAATATTTTCCAAAAAAAAAATCCTTTTCTAAAAAATAAAACCAAATCAGTTAAAAGATATTTTAGAAAGATATTTCCTTCAAATGATATTTTCCAAAAGATAATTACTTACTTAAATTATATCTAATTGAAATCTAGGAAAATATAATTAATTAAAATAAGATGACTATTCCACTTGACTCCTACTAATGTCAATATAATTTATACGTACAAGAATCTAAAAAGATAACCTATTAACTTTAAAAACTCCTTGCAATCTCTGAGGATTCTTCGACTCTGAAGTTTCCACGCTTTAATTCCCTCGAGGATAATGTCTTGCTTTCTTGATTTTATCTTCTCGCTTAGTCTTAAGTCCCTTTGTCTTCTAGTATGCTCGTTCCTCCTCCGGTACATCATCACATACTTCAGTTTCCTCCTCGAAACCTAAGACTCACAACACTTAAAGACACACACTTGTTAAAACGTGTAAGTTTGCTTGAGTTATCATCAAAATACATAAGGGTCAACGGGGTCCAATTAAGCCTAATTGGGCCTGGTCCATAAATGATTCAATCAAAGCCCAAGGTCAAGGTCCAAGTCTCCAATCCATGCCAAGTCAAGTCAGTGGCCTGGTCAACGTGGTCAGCCCACTTGGCCTCAAGCCCATTTCTCCTCATTATGCTAAGATATAAAAGCCTTCAATTGCACCATTTTACATTCATATTCACATATAGCCTCAAGCAATTAATTCTCTTGCATAGTGTAGGGAATATTTCAAGCGTTAATCCCTAGCTTGAACCCCACTGTGATCATACACTAAAGTACGGTGGCGTCCAAAGGGAAAGAAGATAGAGCAAAAGAGTCGCCAACAAGGTTTTTTAGGAACTTGTAAACCGTTCATGAGGTGAAGGTTACACCCCTTAACGATACAAGAGATCGTTAACTCCAATAGGTCTTGAACCATGACTGGTAGTTCGGGGATGAAGGTACAAATCCAACCTAAAAGAGATTGAACCTGCCCTAATAATAGGCCTCTACTTTATTCTGATCGTATTCATGTGCGCTTTTGGACTAACATGCAATCAATAGGTTAACCCTAAACCTGTTTATCTATGTTGGTTGAATATTAATGCACAAATAAATCTATTATTGGCGATCACTTGAATTATAATCATATTAACCCTAAACAAGATTATTAATTATCTTATCAAGCATAATTACAAGTACTAAATCCCTTTAAGCATGCATAAAAGGCGTGATCAAGCAATAACAATAAATATCAAGCAACATAATAAATCATCATATATAATAATCATAACAATCATATATAATTATAATCATGATCATAATAATCATCATAAACATGTTAAAGCATAATAAACATAGCAAGATCCTAAGCATGATACTAACAAGATTAATAACAAACCCTATCATGTCACTAAACATCAAAGATCAAATATATTTAGCCCTAACATGATACTAACGATCATAAATATTAGGAAGAAAATAAAAGGCATCATACTTTTAATCATACTTAGTATTAAATTTACCCTAGACATGATACTAGGAATATCATAAAAACAACCTAAGCATGAGCTCTATATCATAACATCAATATAAACCATTAAAGAACTTAATTTGATGCCTCGTACCTCATTCTAATAACAAAATACACACGTTCAAGGAAAATAATAAAAACAACAATTAAATTAAATAATTGAAATAAAGATTTGGGACCAAACCCTCAGAAATTAAAACCTTTCACGTCTAGGGCGAAGGCAACTTCGAATATGGCTAGGTGTGTCTAAATCTAATGAATGCGAAATTTTTATATTTGAGAGAAGGCTAGTTTAGAAAAGAGAGAGAGAGTAAACAAGAGAACTTGATGAGAGTTGGTGAATCAAAACGAAGTTTTTACGACGTTATTTATAGAGAAAATCAGCCAAAAAGATAAAACATCAAAAACAGAGTTCTGACGCAAAAGGCCAAGTTAGCGCCAAACGCTGACCTTCGCGCCAGACGCTAAGACTAGCGCCAGGCGCCAAGCGTAGCGTCAGACACTACAACTGGTGTTTGGCGCTGACTCAGAAATTCACGTGTTTTCTTAAAATCAGATAGAAATTGCCGTACAGGAGGATAAAATCGTATTTTCCTCAAAAACGTTCTTTGATTCTGATTAAAACTCTAAAAAGTCAACAAAAAGTCAATTTATCAATGCTAATTGAATTAGAAATGATAAATCCATATTAGGCCCTCCTCTGGATCATTGGGCCGCATATAAGGCTCAAACCAGGCCCAGTTTAGTAATTTGGCCATAACTTCCTCATTATTCATCGGAATTGGGCTTATAATATATCGTTGGAAAGGTCTTTTCAAGCCCCATCCAGCTACACCATTATTGTACCCATATCATGGACCAAACCAAACTGGAATGCACGTTTTTCAAAAATAAGGTAAGAAAAGAAATATTTTCAAAAACAGAAAGAAGAGATATTTTAATAAAAACATCCTCATCACTAGACTTTTCACACTTTCGCTTTATTCGATAATCAAATGACATGAAAGGTATTCATCACTGGGTTTGGTTTTGGGGAGACACAAATGGGTGTCTAGAGAAGCCCCCACTTTGACTGAGTTTGGAGAAACACAAGTTTCGAAAACAAAAGTCAAAGTATAGATAAGGACGG